TTCTTTAAAACATTAATGAAAATATTTTTTGGATATAAACTGTCTCCTGCAATGTTGAAACCCCAACACTGCAGCACAGGCCTACTGCATGGCAGCTAGAAATTGAAACTGACTATGACAAAGGAAAAACACTGTTGCAAGACCCAAAGTGAATCCAGAACAAAAAGTATACAAAGACAAGAAAGAACTTGTATTAAATTTTTATCCCAAGAGTGTCACTTTAAATTGGAATTTTAGTAGTACTTTGTATATGACTTTCCTGTAATACAAGTTAAAAATATGGAAGAGTATGAGACGTACCTAAAACACATGCAGCATTAACTGTAACAGTTCATGTAAATGCATGCAGTTAGGATTTGTGGGTTCATTCGTAAGTTGCTGGCGCAAATTCTTCAATTAGGGTCCTTTATGGTAGCAGATTATTGGAAGCCTTTACGGTTTGTTGCATTAATGTATATTACCAGGGAACATTCCACCTCCCCCCTTTCAATAACTTACTGCCAAAGAGAGCTTAAGCCACCTATGGCTTTAAGAAAAAATACCCAAACTCCAATTTGTCTGTCACGTTTCAGTCTAGCATGAGATTTTGCAACATGGAGAATCAGACCAAGAACTATACTATAGTTGTGCTAGGAGCTGTCACTATAATAATAGAAATTTTTGTCATATTCTTCATCAATGTCTTTTCTCCGAATCTAATATCTTTATTTTAAAATGTCATGCAGCTTTTGGAACCTGCTTTCTAGCTACGGTAGCATCTTGCAGTCCTTTTACTTCCTTATCCTCGTTATTTACAATCACTTCATTACAGTCATTGTACCAGCTTTCACCCTGCATAGTTGTCCTAAGTTTATTCCTTCTTCAGTATTTCAGAGCCTTTCAATAAGAAAAAACGACAATGAATTCAAAGGTTTTTTGTTTGTTTCTTTTTTACAAACTTAATACAGTAAAAGCTTTGTTATCCAGCATGTTAGGGGAATGGCGGTGGGGGGGGCCAGTAAGTCAAAAATACTGGTTAACTGAGAGTTATACTTACCAATGGGAGGGAGGGAATTTGGGTGCGGGAGGGAGCTCAGTGCTGGGAATTGTGGCGCGGGCTCTGAGGGGGGAGTTTGGGTTAGGGAGGGGGCTTGGGGCAGGGGTGCGGGAGGGGTTTTGGGGTGTTGGGTCTGGGCGTTGCTCACCTTGGGTGGCTCCCCAGAAGCGGTGACATGTCCCTGCTGCTCCTAAGCGGAGGTGCAGCCAGGCAGCTCTGCACACTGCCTCCGCCCACAGTCGCCACCCCCGCAGCTCCCATTAGCCACGGTTCCCAGCCAGCCAATGGGAGCTGCAGAGCCAGCGCTCAGGGCAGGGGCAGCGCACGGAGACCCCGCGGCTGTTCCTCTGCCTAGGAGCAGCAGGGACAAGTCACCGCTTCCGGGGAGCCACGCAGAGCCAGGTAGGGAGCCTGCCAGCCCTGCAACAACCAGACTTTTAATGGATATCACAAATGCCAGTTTCTAGAGCTTTCCAGTTGGTAAAGTGCTGGATAACACAGCTTTTACTGTAGTGACTTTATTTCTCATGGAATGTTAAATGATACTCTAACTATAGCAGCTTTCCAAATACCATACAATTCCATTAATTTCCAATACTAGTTAGCTTCCAAGATATAAAAATTTGGTTGATTTTTTTTTAAATTAGAGTTAAAAAGTTTCTTGTAAAAATCAATTTGGTTTGACCAACTTCAATTAACACCTGGTTTAACATTTCACTTCGCATATTCATTCTTCCCCCTCTCCAACCCCATTCTACACACCACGTCCTGCCAGATCAAGACAAGGTAACACAATTAGGCTACAACAAAGGACATGAAACAGTCACTGAATGTTTTTTTAGCAACATTACAATAAACAAAATCCCTAATCACACAAGACGTGACAGAGACACACGTTTTTAAAGGACTACATAATTAAGATAAAATTTATGATTTTATTTTGCATTAGCTGCCAGGAGGTGAAAGGCCCACTTTTTCTCTTGGGCTTCCATTTCCATCTGCCCATCATCCAGTATTTCTCTACTTTTCTTTTCCTATTTTCCCCTTTACATTCTTATTTAATGTCCTCAGATTCAGCAAAACTTTCTCACTTATTCACTTCAGTTAACAATGCCCTGGCCTGGCCTGAAGTTCTCAATTAATCCTGCATTTCAGAGTTGCATGGGTGCTACAGTGAAGCAGTCTGACCTCAAACATAACTCTGACTATTAATAATAAAGGAAAAGGGAGAGGCACGAGGAAGAAAGGAAGGAGAGAAAGAAATGAACAATTAATTTTCTATCTATAGTAGAACTGTTTTTGAACTAAAGAACTATGATTCAAGTCAGAGAGCTGAAGTGCAGCACCCACCCAATTATCAGAGAGAGTGATTTAAGATTCAAGGACAACTCCTGATAATATTTCTCATGAATGTGATTTCACTTTCATCTGGATCAGCAAACAGCAAAGTTCATCATTTAAATATTATAGTAGGAAAGATCAGATACCACAGTGATTGGTGCATTAACACACAGACAAACAACATTCAGGATGAAGAAATGTATTTTAAGGCATTAGCAACCATGATAAAGATGAGAATTTTTTTAAATGATCATGTTCTTTATTACTTTTGACCATGTAAGAGCAGAGTCCAAATGCACAGTCCAGAGTATCCTCCAGTAGTGTAAAAGCACAGAAATACTGCTTGGATGGATGCACAAGAAACATGGGGAAGGACATCTTCAGGGTCCAGAAAAAAAACGACTTTCAGAGCATGAAATCCCCCACTGTTGCCAGTGCCAAGACAATGTCTTGGAGATTAGACAAGATCAAACTCTGATCTTTACCTATGATAAATATCATTCCTTACCTAATAGGCCTTCTCTCGGAAAATTAAAATTAACCCTACCAGTTTGAGTGTAAGTGTAGTAGGAGAAACCCTCCCAAAAGATAAGAAATTGGAAACAGGAACTGCCATACTAAATCTGATAGTAGTCCATCTAGTCCTGTATCGTTGGTGGATAACTGCAAGTATCAGCTGCTTAAGAGAAAGATGCAACAAACTCTGCAATAAGCAATTATGGAATAACACATGGGAAGTTTCCTCCTAACCCCATAGAGTTAAAGGCAAGCTTATGAGAAAGTTTGAAAAGATTTTGAACTGGATTTATTTTATCCATCTTGTTCCAAGTTTTTTAAATATTTGAGGAGGAGGAGTATAACATGCTCGCTTCAGAGCTAGTTCATTCCCATGCTCTTACACACCTCCTTGCCAAACATTGAGCATACCCAACTATTCCCATACCTGAAGCTTCCCTATGTATTCAACCAGCTTCTATCAGTAAAATGCAATAAAGGGAGAAATCAGGGAGGCCCTTAAATTTCAACATATTAAATACTTGACATGCTCATGGCCCATAATAGTGAAGTACACCAGAAAAAGAACATGCACATTTCATAGTAAGGCAACACACAGAAAAGTGTACTTCCTTACCAACTGATTTTTTAAAGGTTCATCACTAAAAACAAATACGAAATGAATGGAGAACATTCTCACCCCCCATTCTTAGTTAATTTTTGTAACATCATCTATGTAGTTCAGGGAACTGCCCGTGTTGAACATTTAAATAATTCCTTCACTAGAGGCCAAATTGCAAGGTCTTTAATGGAACAAAGAGAGTGTCACGTTATTAAAGATTTGGCAGTATGATACTAGATCTATGACTTACAAAGAGCAATAAGACATAGGGATAGCAGGAGAATTAAAAGTAACAAGGTTTTTTTCCTGTGTAAATTCTATGATAAAAATATGCTTACATAGTGGACAACAGGCAAAATATAGACTACACTTTTAGAAAGGGGGATATAAATGTACTGTAGTCACTCTTTTTCACTAGAAAAAATAGTAGCAAGGGTATATTTTTTAAAGATATCACCCCTGTATGTACAGGATGAGAAAGGTTTTATTTTTAAAAGTGCCAGCTAACATCAAAATAGCCCTGCCATGAAATGACCACAACTAACAGTGCGCTCATTCCCCTACTTAATAAATACAATCAGTATTGAGGATAGAAAAATGTGGTTTAAAGCATTAGCAAACAATCGTAGAAAGTGTAATGAGCGAAGGAGCCAGAAGGCTAGCTACTGAGTACACATGTAGCATCAACAGGACAGATAAATTATAAGAAGTTACAGCATTCTGACGTCTATTAAAAACATTAAAAGGTTACGATGCTATATATAAAGTAGACAAAGAAAACTATTGCTAACTCAGAATAAATACTGAATGAGTATCACAATGGCACAGTTTATAAAGCCTATAACAGAACGTAGCATGAAATAAGTTTTAATATATCTATCCTATTATAACTTCCAACTGTTATCAGTTCACATTATTACAATAATTGCTAGCTCTGCTGACTGGGAATTAATTACAGTCATTTTATCGTTTGGGGGTTTCTTAATTGTATTCTACATCACAGAGTGATTCCCTTGTGTTGATTAAAACAGAGTTCAAACCAATGGTCTATCTGAATTTATAGGTAAAAAGGATGAAGATTAAAAACAAAAAGATTGGGACATGAAAGAAAATCCATAAGACTAAAAGGTGATTTCATTTTCCAACACACCCCCACATGCAGCACCTTCTGGCCCCCACTTCCCCCCCCCCAAAAAAAAGTGATCCCTGTAAGGTATAAATTGCATAAACATTCTTTTTGTAAAAAGTTAGAGGCTGCACTGTATGCAGATGATGACATTTAATTTGAGGAAACTCTGTCAAAAGAAACTTTCTGGTTTGGCTGTTTCACATTTTAAAAAAATCTTAATTCAACAATTCTAATCCTTTTCAACGTACATATGGACAGATCACTTGCATAGCTTTTCCTGCTGTTTGTTTCCTTCTTGCTATACCGGTCAACCTTTGGCTGGATTTAAAATGAAGTGTAACACTATATGCCAATCAATAAACTAATTTGTGGCTTACCTTGGCACTGAAATCCTTGTTTCCCAAACCCCCTGCAAGGGAAAAAGACAAACACTGTCTTAACATATTTAGTTATTGCTTCTTCCCACTAACCTACTATAATAAAAAAAAAACACCTCACATTAAAGTACATGATTTCAGGTTTTGTTAAGAAAGCAACAGATTTTATAATACAAAACAAAGCATTAACCCATCTATTTCAAAGATGAGAATAGCAGCAGATTCCAGCTATGTAATTTCATTTTCTGGCAAACCTTTATTTTATTTTTATTTTATTTTACAAGCAATTTTGGATCCACAATTAGTGTCATCTGTGAATATTACATAATGTTACAATTCACTCCATGCCATGTGTATCCTTACGATATTATAAATACTCCAACTGCTAGAGGGCTATAAAAAGAACCATAGTTGGATTCTAAGATGAATTTTAGTATGCATATTGAGATTTAACTATCTACAACAGTGATTGCGGGATGAGATCAGGAGACAGATGTACAGAAAGGCGTTTGACGCTGGTTGTTTTGGGGCTTTTACAAAGAATATTCAGCTAACACAGAGAAAATAAATTAATAAAGGCCACTGCTTTAATAACTATTGTACTTCTAATCTTTTAAAAATAATTCTATTAATAAAGTTATCATTGTTTGAAACAATGATTTAAACATGTGCATAGTATTAGCTATCATACCCAGAGTTTAATAATATATAAAATCTCACGCAAATCACCACCTCATTTTTTCATTTTTCATTTTGACATTGAGTTCTTTTTCTCCATCAACAAAAATAGTTGTTTTCAGTAGTCATTTACACACACTCTCTACATTCTCTCTTTTGAGTATGTTTTGTATCTGCGGCAGTAGCTGAAAGTGTTTATACTGAGAGAAAACAAAACCAAATTACAAAGACAAACATCCAGCAAAAGCCATTACATTGAATATAGCTCCCTTTAGCAAAAATAAGTATGAGGTTTAGCTACAAAATTTATGATTAAATAACTAACAATAACATCTCTTCCTCATATCCAAATATTTATTGTGATTTAGAGAAAAAAATCATTTAAAAAAAACCTCATGCAACTTCAGTAAAAATTTACTTCAAATTAAAGTTGACATTAAAGGGACATGCAACTTTACAAAAAAATTTAGTTTTATCTGAAACATTTTTCATACTGTTCTTACAAGTGAAACCTAAGATCATGATACTGGAAAGATTATAAAATTGTATTTGCTTATTTACTCTGAGTATATTTGACAATACTTTCCATACAGTCTTTTCACTGTTTCTCTGTTTGTGTGGGTCTTTCACTCCATAACACAAGAGAGAAAAATTGTTTTTTCTAAAATATACAAATATAATTATAAAACCACCAAAACAGACAACAGGACTAAGGCTGGACACAGAATCTGAAGCTACTTTTAGGTTAGGTGATTAGATTTCAAGACAACAGTGTTCTTTGACCAGCTAAACTGAGAATGCATCCTTTCTTCATGGTTTGTACTGAAAGATACTAGTTCACATTTGAGTCTGTTTCATGCAATCTATAGTGTAATGAATCTCTCTCATCCAAAATTTCACAAAATAAAGCAAACCTTGGGTAGAATTTCCTTTAAACAAATTTGGCAAGTCTAAATAAGAATCTGCTACCTAGTTCGATATTAAGATCATCAAGTTTGATTAAAAACAAAAAACAACCCACACACTTTTGGGGAGGACTTCATTCCACTGAAATATTACATGTTCTTTATTCACACCTCCAAATGTTTAATAATAGTCACATTCTTGATTTTTATCCCTCAACTGGAAATTGTTATGGGGATGCAACAGTTAGGTGTCCATTTAATGACCTCTGAAGATGCCATACTTGCCATGTTTTTGGTGCAAAAGCACCCAATATTTCATCTGACTTTAAACCAATAATGAAAAAGAATGTACTGAAGTTGCTGCATGCTGTCTTTGAAGAACATTTAAGAGCTTCCTAGACTTACTAGCAAGGAAAGACCACAGCGTACAACTACTCTTGCCACCTGTCAACAACAGGATATCCTTTCACTTTCAAATACATCCTGTAATCAGGTGCCTTTTATCATGACGGTATTGTTTTTAAAAACTGCATTATTTATCTGTACCAATACATGCTGACAATAACCCTGCAGCATTCTTTCAGACCTGCCAAGTCTCATTCTTTTTGGATTTATTTTAAAGCAGTTTTTAAATTCTTCTACTTTTACAATGAAGGGTTTTGCAATTTCCCCCAAATTGTGATAGTGTGAGAAGCCAGAACTTATTTTTCCCTTTTCTACAGTCTGCCTATGTCCGTTTCAGCTACTCCTCTCCCCACATATTTTCAACGGTTTGTTGCATGCTCCCCTCTCACATGTTTTATTGTGTTTGCTAATAGAATCAGTCTCTCTCTGCCACAGCATCCAAGTTAAAGAAGGCAGTACAAAGAGAGAAACTGAGAATGTACAGTAGGCCAAGGGTCATGCCGCCCAGTGCATGCTGAGGGAGCCAGCCAAGTGCAGTGTGCACACAGCCAGTTGCATGCATTCCCCTCACAATCTTCTCACACTGCTGAGCCCCAAGGAACAACAGACTTTATTTTCAGCAGTGCTCATCACCACCCACCGCTCTCACTAACGGCAGTGGGAAAGGTGGGTGCTCCTCAAATTTGAAGATCAAGCCCCTAAGTCTTTCCTCTCTCCACACAAGTTGCAGAACGCAACATAAAGAGAAGGAAGCACATGAATGTATATAATTTACAAGTGAGCCAAGTGCCCCACCCATTCCCACTGTCTCAGGTCAGGTCACAGCGTATTAGCAATCAGTCTGCATACTACTCATTGCTGCCCTGCTTAGCAGAGGGTATACGATGCAGCTAAGCCAACCGCATGCAAGCACACGCTGAAATTGCCCTGTCTGGCCTAGGGTATGAGTGAGCTGAGTACACCACTTGGTCAAGAGCATGATAGGGACTAACAATTCAGTGTTTGCTTCTGGATTCTGAAGAGCCTTGCAGAGCCTTGCAACCTGCCCTGAACCCAACAGGACCCAATTCCCAGTGTCAGGTTTGAGTCGATCAGGTTGGGTCTGAAAAGAACCAACCCTCTCGGATCCAGGTCTGGTCAGGTAGGCTCTGATCATCTCCTCCTGCCTGTGAAGTCGGTGCTGCAGCAGCTGCGTGCCCCGCTCCTGCCAACCACCACCACCTCACTGTGCTGTGAATGCTGCAGAGTGCACTCACGAGTCACAGCACATCTCACTCCACAGCACAAACAGCGCAGCAAGGCAGCAGTGGCAGGGTACACGCCTGCCACTGTGCTGACCCCATGGGCAGGAGACGGCCCGAGAGGATTCACAGGCACGAGACGTGAGAAGCCACTACCCAACTGAACCCCAAGTATGAGGTGGAGGCAGCCGATATCAGTTTGGAGGGAAGTGTTGGGTCCAGGTTGGATCTAAAAAGGACTCAACATGCTCAGGTCAGGTTTGTGCCTAGGTTGCGTTCAGGTCAGGCTTTAAAATTAGGCCCGAGCAGACCGTTAATTTGATTATTTCGTCCTCTTTGTCTCTCAGCAGCCTCTTTCCTATACTTGCTAATCTAGAGGCACCGGCTGCAATGTATTTTCTAGTCTCCCTGCCCTCCTCAGGCAGCAACAGGGAAACACAGGAACAGCAACTATCACAAAGATAATGAAAAGGCTGCAAAAGTTTTGCTGAATGACTGGAGAATGGTGCAAACGCTGGGAAGCAGGGAGGTCCCTTACCAGATTAAAACAGTGGCTGTAGAACCTGGGCAGGATGAGATTAGATGCTAGGGAGGCATAAAGGCTAGGGAAATCAATGAAGTGACAGCACAACTTGGGTTGGGGGAGGAGGGATAAGAATGTATGGTGGTCTGAAGGAGATGAGGTGTGCTCCGAGTATCACAATAGGGAAACAGATGTTTAGGGGATGGAGGACAGTCCAAGAGATAATCCCCAGATTAAACTGATCCTGTGGCTGCAGAACATGGGTTGGGTGCATATCTAAGGACTGCAGAGAGTGTTTATTTCTTGCCCAAGGGATCAAGTGTCATTTCCTAGGCGTCCCCAGGGTGCATGGAGGTCTCCCTAAGAGACTCACAAAATGAAGTGCAATGGCTGCAAAACAGGGGTGCGTGTGCCTTACGGCACGGGTCAGAGTATAATGGGAGGTGATTTAGAGTTGTTCCCAGGGTTCAAGCTAGGGGGTTCCCCAGTTAGAGTCACCAGTGGCTGCAGGATGTGCGCAAAATGCATTCCTATAGGCGAGTTACTAGGGAAGTCACCAAAAGAAGTTAATGTACACCTCTACTCCAATATAACGCGACCCGATATAACACGAATTCGGATATAACACAGTAAAGCAGTGCTCCGGGCGGGGGCGGGCTTGCGCACTCCAGCGGATCAAAGCAAGTTCGATACAACGCGGTAAGATTTTTTGGCTCCCGAGAACAGCGTTAAATCGGCGTAGAGGTGTACTAGCTGCAGAAGGTGTGCTGGGCAACAGGGATGAATACATAGATATGTTGTGTTGGAGGCAATATGGGGGGGAAGAAGGAAGGTCACTCCGATTAAATAGGTGCAGTAGGGCTGCACTAAGTGGCCTAGCTAAGGTGATCAGATATGGGGGAAGGCACATGGCATGGAGGAACTCCTCCCTAGCAAGGTGTTGGAATAGCAAGGTACAAGCAGTATAGTGGGGTCTCTCATCAAATTACATAGGTGCAGTGGCAGCATAAGGTGGGCTGGCTGAAGTGGGTAGTTCATAGCATCCCGAATCATAGGGGGAGAGGACAGATGTTACAGGCAAGGTAGCAGGGAGTCTCACCAGATGAAGTCAGTGCAGTGGCTGCAGGAAGAGGGCTAGCTAAGAGAGCAGTGTGTGGGTGGGGGGAGGGGGGGATAGAGGGAGCAGGGGCCGCATTGGGGGGGGCTCTCTCACCAGAAGAAGTCAGTGCAATGGCTGCAGAAGGGGATGGTATAGAGGCAGTATACAGGGAGTCACTGCAGTACAGCAGAAGGGTGGGTGGCTGGGGGGGCATGGGCAATATAGGAACCAGCGGTGGTATAGGGGCAGTGTAAGTGGCAGGGAGCAATATGGGGGTGGTATAGCAGCAGGGACAGCACAGGAGCAGTACAGGGGTCTCTCACCAGGTGAAGTCGGTGCAGGGCTGCAGGAGGGGAGTTGCTCGGGGGACGGTAGAGAGCGATGTAAGCGGCAGGGAGCAGTACAGGGGTGGTATAGGGATGGGGGCGGTAGAGGGGCAGGGGCAGTACAGGAGCCGGGCAGCGGTCTCTCACCAGGTGAAGTCGGTGCAGTGGCTGCAGGAGGGGAGTTACCCGGGGGAGGGGCAGTATAAGGGCAGGGAGCAGTACGGGGGTGATATAGGGGGTCTCTCACCAGGTGAAGTCGGTGCAGTGGCTGCAGGAGTGGAGCAGTACAGGGATGGTATAGGGACAGGAGGAGGGG